TTTGATCACTGATTTAAGACCGGTATTGCGTATAGAAGTTAACACAAGCACACACACACACACTTGAGAAAAAGTAGCAGGACCAGTACCAAAGATAATTAGTTTACCATCCTATATCTATCCTTGTATACTCATTTTCGTTTTTAATTATGAGTATATATAAGGGGTAATATAGAGCCTGTTAATCCTCTTCACTTAGTGTTGACGTCAGACTTCTACGAGAATCAGTTTCAGCTCTGATGATGCCAATCATGTAATGAACGAAAGCTCAGTCCGTTTTTATGTGAATCGAGGAAGGATGTCTCGTGGACTGCGTCAATCTGAACGTCGTATTAAAGCCAAATGGCGGCAGTAAAACGGGATTCAGTCGTCTTTTGGTGAGATCAACCTACGAATATCTATTTATGCACTTTCATGCGAACTAAAGGTATCCCAAAAATGTTATCTCAGGAGATTCATCGTATCCATTCGTTCGGACAATCAATTTTTTCACCTAATCAAGAGTCTTATGAGCCTTCTCTTTTTTTTTATTTTTGAAGATATTTTTATTGAAGATATGAAGACCAGGATGATGTGGACTTTTATATGGTCGCGGTCTCCTTTCATTGTACAGACGTTGTTTGACCTTTTTTCACAACTTGGTCATATTTGCAAACACTTGGTCAAATGATCGACTTCACTTGTCTTTTTGACTAGTTTTAGTGTGATGCTAAGAATGGCAATGTTCAATGGCGATGCCACGAGGTGGAGACTAAAGCTGCTTGGCAATCAATAGACTTGTTTGATCTTAAACGTGATCCTTGAATCACGACTATTGTTAGCCAACCAGGTCTAGCTTCCACTGTTTCTATCTCATAATACCAAGTCTATGACTTCCTATGCCATAATCTCTTGTCTGCCAACCCACAAATGTTGTGGTTCAGCATTGAACCAAAGCAAAACAAGCTGTACCACAACATCTATGAGTTGGCACACAAGAGACCAGGGCATGACAAATCATAGATTTGGTATTAGGGATAGAAACAGGATAGACGGCGGGGACTAGAGCTAGTTGGTTGACGGTAGGTCTGTTGTACCAGAGACGTGGTATATGTAGCAAAGGGGTGACCATGACACTCAGAGGCTTGCGCCTTGAATTAGTGACCCAGACGCAGGAGAGGTGAATAACTCCTGGAGTAGGACATGTGGTGACAGGAGTCGAGTGAAATAGGTTGCAGTCTCCTTTCGTTGTATAGAAGTTGTTTGACCTTGTTTTCACAACTTGGTCATATTTGCAGACACTTGGTTAAATGATCGACTTCATTTGTCTCTTTGGCGAGTTGTAGTGTGGTGCTAAGAATGACAAGGTTAACTGGCTATGTCAACCACGAGGCAGGCGAAATGTCTGTGAATGTACCAAGTCCATGGTCCTATTCTGGAAATCAGCATGCATACTATAGACTTCGGACAAGGTGCGCTCCTCTAGATCTTTCTGTAAATATGAACAAGTTGTGAAAACAAGGAAGTATATTGGTTTATGCACTCAACTCAAAAGGGAATCCAAGGCAAATGGATAAAAATGCCTACCGAGTGGTTTCTTTAAAGATCGCAGTGCAAAATGTAAGGTCTTAGCTAAGAAATCAAGAATATTTAGTATATGAGTAGGTACCTCGTTCTTCCTTATGGATTGAGATGATAATAACTCGTGAAAAAACTTTGCGACATAAAGGGCGTGGGTTAGGCAATGGTTACTGAATAAAACAGCTTCCTTTTGATTTGCCCAGGGGCCTTCTTGCCTCTGAGATACAGTTTACTGTAAAGGCCAAGAGCAGCTACAAGCTCTTTATATAAAAAATTGGTTTTCGAGGAATATTTTTGCTAACACTGTTGACTTGAGATTAATTGTATGTGAAAATATGCAAGGAAGCAATTTTATGTGAAGCTCACCGGATGATTCATCATAGTCTCTTACAGTTCGATTTTACTAAGATGCTCAGTTTGAAGCAAACCTCAAGTAAACCTCCCTCGGTTGTGGTGACTACGTCTAGAACGTTTATCTACCTAAAAGTCAAGATAAATATCGGTTAGTATTTCCCTAATTTGTATGCTCACAAAACAAATCAAATAAGGGGAAGTATCGAAATATTTTATTATTCTCTTGTTCTATTTATCTATAATTAGATGCATCTGTACATGTGTGTAGTTGTGTTAGCAGAAATGACAGCTTATGTGATCGAGGCATAAAGGTATTTAATTTTCTTAATAAGAATTTATTTTCGGTATGGATATCTTCTAAAAACCAACGTCTAAAATAAGAACTCCTCAAAGATCCACCGTATGTTGTAAGCGACCTCAGAGTTGGCCGCCTGTGCTATGCATTTAAGTTTTGATGTAAGTTGCAATAGGCCTACTCTGCTTCAATTTTATGCTCGGTTTGTCGCATTTGGCTTTTATATTTGTCTATCTACAGTCAGGATCTAAGCGGGTATTCTGAATAGAATAAAGCGGGTTGCAAAATTTGTTCGAGAAGGAGTGATAATGACTCAATGAATTTCAATAAAAATGCAAGAATTCTTTGAAACTCTTTGAAAATAGTTCAATTATCACAAAAGGATACGTTGATATTAGTGTAGCCTTCAGTTCGTTTAGAAAAGCCGAGAAAAGGGATTCGTAATTTCTTCTCTTTGTATTGTGAAGGAGGATTGTTTGAACTTATAAATATTGGAATCTGCCAAGACTTTGGCTCTTACCTTTCTGTGGGCTCAATGAATCATTGATGAGATTTCGCTTATCATGCGACGGATACTGTCAGAGCCCGAAAGCACCATTTGCACAAATTCGGCCAAAATGCTAAAAGCCATGCAAGATTGCCGGCTGAAATAGCTCTTGTTTTGTTCTCATGTGGACGTTTCTATTTGGGGGAGACATTTGGATACACACGAATGAGTGCAGCAGAAGACAGAACCACCTGAATTCAGAAATCGTAGGTGGCTAAACATACAGACACTAGAGGACCCCAAAAAGTTATTTAGGATATGGAGACTTCATAGATAAGCAGAGGATTAGAGTAGGTAGTAATTTATGAAACAAATAACAACCTGAATAAGAAGAGAAAAAAGAGTCAATGTGTAAGATGAGAAGGTTTGACAAGCCCGAAGTCTCGTTTGTGATATAAATTGTCAACTTGCTTCTGGATATTGTATACACCAGGCGTACATTCATCCACAAACTTAAAACAAGTGTCAGCATTGCAGAATCATAGGTTACTTTATTTAGATGAGGAAACAACTGTAACTATATTTTTCGCTTATGAGACTATCAGTAGATGCTTTTATATGAGATGTGCTCACCCGATTTCATTTAAAGTGATAAGAGGATTGGAAGTTGAAGTTTCCAACAATAATAAGGGCAGACCTTAGATTTATATTGAATTTCAATTATTCTTGCCTTACCAAAATATATTTTTATTCAGATAGGACTGCAGTTTCGATATCGCCCAGGTCCTATCAATACCCATAGCTGGGTTCGAACCATGAAAGTACACGGTGTAACCTACTCATAAACATAAAATAAGTCGATTACTATAATAACTACAACTTTGTTTTATCGACACTCCCACCAAAGAATGTGAGTTAGAAAATGCCCGGCCTTCCTTAAGCTTCTCATCTGCACTGTGACTCAATGGCACTCGCGGCACTGCGACGTAGGCCTTAACGTGTCAAGAGTATACACTGTGGTGTCCTGGTTCGAGTCCCACTAGTGGTGTTGACAAGACCTAGGCGAGGTAGAAACGGCAGTCCATCCTGAAGAAGAATACCTTTTGGGAATCAAGGCTATAGAAAATTCAATTAAAATCCCTTATCACTCTAAAGGAGATAGGGTGAATACACCTCCTACAAAACTGTAACCATATTCTATCACTTTCCATGCAAGTAGGCTGAGCATGCAGTAACCAACCAAATCCTGGAATGCCTCGTGAAAAACGCATTGTTTGCAATATGAATTAAGTACGTCTCCATTGTTGTGGAGGCTTTCATTTCGTATGAAAGTGAATAATGAAAAAATATGTAGGTCGATCTCATCAGAAGACAACGGCATATTTCTGTTATATTGCAGCCATTTGGCTTTGCCACGACGTTCAGGCTGACGTAGTCCACGAGAAATTCTCCCTTGTTTCGGGGAAAAAAGGCTGAACTTTCGTTCATCAGAGCTGGGACTCATCCTTTCAAGGGTCTCATATAAACACTTAGTCGAGAAGACCTGCCTTTTCAAATGGAATGAAAGGTATGCCTGCCTTAAACAATTAAAGGACTCTTTTCAAGCCCAGCTTCATGTCATAATAGAATATGCTATCAGCAATTAAGGTAGTGGTCCAAGAAGGTTCCTTATTATACAATTTGTCTTTCCATTTAATGCACTGATATATTTTATGCAGACTATGCTTTTATGAGATTGTAGATTGATGCTAAATTGATACTATCAGATTTGTATATAACAAACAGCCGCGGTTGACTCAGAAAGTCGACTTTGGATTAAATGACCTACGGATTGGCATGAGCATCATTCATAATTCTCCATTTGGTGGGCTTATGAGTGGGATCAACTACAAATGGTACCTGTATCATGTACAGCTTTTTAAAAGCCTACTTGAAAAGGTGTACTAACAATAAATTCGCCTCTCTTCTAGTCAACCTGTATTGCTGGATCGCAGTTTAAATCCCCAGCCGGACAAGACGAAACGCTCAAACTTTGTTATGTTACATGTTTTGTGTGTGTCTATGCGAATATGCTATTAGTCTCCAGTGCTGTCTTACCTCGCCATGACGCATTTTGCACAGCCTAATTTGGCCCACTTGCTTGTCAAGAAGGGAAGGTGCTTTCCTACCTCGTAATGTGTGCAATCGGCGATGCTGGCGAATGAGGAGACGAAGCGAGCTTGGCATAGCCCAAGGAGCTCCCACTCTGATCAGATGCGCCGGCCTGCACAAGTATGCATGCAAAAATATGTCTGTACGTATACGTCAATACGATCCAGCAGTCAGAGCATCACGGCAGAGCATGCCTAAATGTCTGAGGCGAATAGTAATGAAGGGGAGAGAACATGGCGGCTGAGACATTGCGACGACAACGTCCTTTATTGTCCCCGAGCTGGTAACAGGCTGAGATGTTGTGGGCGGAATCCGATACCAGCCGCATAAATAGCAACTCGCCGAGACGAGTGTCTGGGCTTGAGAGTGATGGGTCGAGGTACTGAAACATTGCCTGGAGGGGATGCTGAAGACGAGGGGATGGGGTAAGGGCAGATGAGGTGTGCAAGGCGTAAAGTGGTCTGCCTCGCTTCTCGCACACGCCGTTGGCGAGAAAAGGGGAGACATCCTATTCGTATTCCGATTGTGCCAACGAACTTCAAGTAGTTGGCCGACTGAAGTGAAGGCCATGTGTCCACGGGAGAATGGCCGGTACAGGGCATACACACTTGTCAGGCAGTTTACTGCTATGCGATTAGGCCCTTCAACCCCCATCTTGGCTTCAGGTCACCACAGTTATTTGCAGAGGTCCTGAAGACAATGGCTAGATAGAGTGAGGCATTCGTATTTGATCGCTTGTCTTCATCAGGCTACCAGCCTCATCAGCACAGGCATGACGATCTTTTATGCAGAAAAGCTGGTTTTCGAAGACGATCTCTTGACGGCTGTCCAATAGGGAAAGATGGTTGGGCCGGAGAAGGGACACATTCTAGAAAAGAATAAAAAAGCAAAGGTGTGAATACAACGATGTGGGCTCTATTATATTCGCGGTCGCCTTTTGCTGTATAGAAGTTGCTTGACCTTGTTTCCACAACTTGGTCGTATTGTCAGGAGGACCTAGAAGAGCCCACCTTGTCCGGAGTTCATAGTATACATGATAATTTCCAGAGTCGGACCTTTGACTTGGTAAATTTCTAGAAGTCTGTTTGTTTGTTGTTTATTCATACGTTTTCGATCAGCCTACTTCATAGAATGCAGTATAAATAGAGGTGAAACGTCTGCCAAGCAAATTAATCTATCAAATCTATATATCAAATGTAGACAACTTGAAGAAACAAAGAGGCAAGTTGTCGTGCGATGGTAAGATTGGCAAGGCTCACTGACAATGTAAACTACGATGCTAGCAAAACGTCTGGGACTCCGAAATAGGTGCGTCCCCCCAGGTCTTCTTTACAATACAATCAAGTTGTCAAGACTAGGTCAGACAACTTCAGTAATAAAGCAAATTCTATACAAATCTGATAAAGTTTAAGAATATCTGAATTGTAGAAACTTTAGACTATGCTTTTTGTATATCAATGTAGGATGAACGATATTTTTCGTTAATAAGTGGGTTTTCAAGATTACTAGTGAATGAGATGTATTGACTCTATTTCGTTAAAGCGATGATGGACTGGTAGCTGAACATTCCCACAATGATATGAGCGTCGAGATTATGCCCTGCGTTGTCACGGTTATAGCTCCACTGGGGTTGCTGGCTGGGGTTAGGCGATGTCGAAACTGTATTCCACCCTGAATGAGAATAACTTTTGGAAAGCACGACCATGTGGAGTTCACTGTAAACGTATGGCATACTCATACCATTGTGGATAAATTAAACTAAAAATCCATCATTACCCTAACATTATAAGGTGAATAGGTCTCATATGAATGAATGATATGCCAACTGTATTTTAGAGCATAGCTCGGATTAGAAATCTACTTGGACATACACTTGTAATATGCGCTGCCGTTGACCAGAAAAAGTCTATCTTTGAAAAAAGTTGACACATACATTACGTATTGGAAGATGACATTAATATATCTCCTGCCTACTCCATTAGGTGATTCGATACTGCTAATAGGTCGAAAGTGAAGTGAGAAGTTGTTTGACCTTGTTTTCGAAACTTGATCATATTGGTAAGAAGACCTAGAGGAACGCACCTAATCCGGAGTCCATTGTATGTATGTTCATTTCCAGAGTAGGACCGCGAACGTGGTACATTCCCAGACGTTTCGCCGGCATCGTCAGTGAGCATTTCCATTACTAGCACCACAGTACAACTCGTCAAAGAGACAAGTGAAGCCGATTCTTTGACCAAATGTGTGCTAAACAGTTGTGGTAGCTCTCCTTATTTCATGAGCTATTCACCTCCCCTATATCCTCCTATCACACTTTATTATCACAATTTTTACTTGTTTATTTAAATTTGGTATGTTGATCAGAGTCTGCCATATTGTTGCGCCTTCCTCCATCCCTAGGTCTTATCAGAGTCTCCCTCTTGCTCCGTAGAATCCTTATGCGATCTCCCGGGTTCAAGTATTTTACTCGACTCCTGCCACCCCATGTGCACTCCACGAGGCGTTATTACCCGCCCCTGCGCCTTGGTGACTAATTCGAGGCTAAAGCCTCTGCGTAAGCCTTTGCTACATGGACAACGTCTATTGTAAAACAGGCCTAATGCCAGCCAGCTAGCTCTAGTCCTCACCGCGGCTATCCTGTTTTTATCCATAATACCAAGTCTATCATTTC